TTCAATGAAAGTCATCTTGCTAGGCAGATATTTAGTTATACTCTTAAGAATAATGCAGGACACTGGATTTTAGTCCAAAGACCTATGTTCTAGTCCTAGTCCTGCCCTTAATGAGCTTTAAGACTTTTCAGCAAGTCTTTTAACCTCTACGGCCTTCACTTTCCTCATTTGTAAATTGAGTGAGTTGAATTTGACGATTTCTAAGGTACCTTTAGTATTCCCTAACTATCACTAAGGTGCTAATTTGAAAATTACTTTCTCATCAAATGGTCATTTCCAGATGAACTGAGATGGAAACAGATTCTCTTGTTTCCCTATTCTTTGGGAAATTTATTCAAGCCAAAGTGATTGGGGAAAAAAAAAAGAATAACATCATAAATTTAGTAGAAGAGAATAGAAATTTCATTTTAAATTTCATGGTCAGAGTACACTTACCAGTAAGAGACCCACTTTAAAGAGACCCTACTCAGTTTTCTACAATTTGTCTAGATTCATTTGATAGCTATGGCTAACCTTCCGCTGTTTTTTTGTTGTTTTGGGTTTTTTGTTGCTTTTCTATAAGGGATGCTTTACTCATAGATGAAAAGCAAAAGGATCAAATGGACAAACAACAGAGCAGTAAAGTGCTCACTTCGGGGCTGCAGCCAATCTAATTAATTTTTCATTCAGTTCTGATGTATTAGAGGCCGATCAATTTGGGATTCTGTTTACAGAGTTGTATAGGGAGAGGAGACCAGGTCCTCATTTGTCGTCTAGGCTGTCTAAATTAGTCAGCTAAATGATCCCAGGGGATATCATAAAGGATATGAATGGGTTCTTGTAAGTACCTTTTCTTTTAATTACAGACCAAACTGTCAGCACTTCCTACAGATCTTGACCTCAATGACTGAAGGACAAAGTCCTGAAGTCACAAATAAGGGGCTCTTTCACATCCTGAACCTCTTTAGTTGGGGGTTCTCATTTAGTTCATGTGTCCCTGGTTAGCCATTTTAGTATGTATAGACATACACTCTTGAGTAGTAGCCTCAAATTCTTAGAGTTTGATGAGACTTTAAGATGTTCTGTAATCAAATCTTTACTTTTATATAATATTTTCCCCCTTCCGAGTCCCCCAAAAGGGGGCATACAGCCTTTGATTGAATATTGTCAATGACGTGAAACTCATTAGTTTGGAATGGACCAAATTCGATTTTTGAACAGTTCTCACTCTTAAGAAGTTAAATTGAAGCACAATGTATTTAGCCCTGTAACTTCTACCCATTGATGGCTGTACCCCAATAACCAAGCTAAATAAATCTAATCCCACTATTTAAAGAGAGAAATAATGCCCTCACTAAATCTTCTAGTCTCCGTGGTGAATATACCCAAATCTTTCAGCCTAGTGCAAGATACTGTTCCTTCTATATATTAACATTCTCCTGAACAGGGCAAAAATTGTACATTTTTTGTCAGAAAAAAAATGATAAAATCCACTTTTGAAAAAACACAACCTCTCAGATCAAAAGTGAAAGAGAGACACATACCACACTGAGGATCATACAGAGAATTGAAAGGATCTTTTTTTTAGGAAAACAGTGACTGTAGTACTATCGGCTGCATGCAGCTAGGTGGTGAAGTGGATGGAACATCAGGCCTGGAGTCAGGAAGAGCCTGAGTTATGATCTAGATTCAGACATTTACTAGCTGTGTGACTTAAAAAGTCAATTGTCTTCTGTCTGCCTCAGTTCATTTACCTGTAAAATGATGCTAATAATAGCACCTACATCTCAGGGTCATTTTGCCATTTACATGAGACAACATTTATAAAGTGTTTAGTGTAGTGCCTAACACATAGTGGACACCTCGTAAATGATTGTTTCCTTCCTTCTTCTGTAAATTCTATCAGTTCATAGTTCTTCCATCTATAACCAAACCAAACAAACAAACAAAGGACCTGTTTCACTTTCTCTTGAGAGCCCTTCCATATTTGAAGATAGGAATAATGTCTCCAATTCTTCAAGTCTCTCCATACAGTCTTCAATTCTCTTTATACAGTTTACAGTCTATAATACACAGTTTCTTCAGCCCAGGATCAGAGATCTACATCTGGAAGACACCATAACTATTACCTCATCCAACCATCTCATTTTACAATGGAAGATTCTGAGGCCCACAGCAATCAAGTTTTTGCACAAGGTCACACAATAAGTGGAAAAATCAGGGTTCAAATTTAGGTTCTGTGAATCCAAGTTCAGCCTTCTTTCCACTATACCATACTACTCCTCAAATAACCCATAGATTTATTATTATTACTAGTAGTAGTAGTAGTAGTAGTAGTAGTAGTAAAAACAATAGCACTGATTTGAATAATGCTTAATTATTTAGAAAGTGCTTTCTTCAAAACAATGCCAAGAAATAGACATTATGAATATTTTCATTCTATGGATAGAGAAACTGGCACTCAGAGAAGTTAAATGACCTAATATAAAATAGCTAAATTCTTTGAGCCAGGACTTGAATCCATTTCTTCTGCCTCTAAGACCAATACTCTTTCCACATCATCTACCATACTGACCACTCTCCTCTGTCATGGAAAAGATTGTCATAAACTGTGGCATCTAGAAGAGATGGATGCAGTGGGAAAAAAATGGATTTGAAGTCAAAGGATTTGTGTGACTTTATTTCCCCATGTAACACTGAGAGAATCATTTCACAATTTATTGTCTTCATTTTAAAAATGGAGTTAAATATGATGATAATGATAAGGATGCTAATGATAGTGATGATATAAAAGAAATCATAGCTATAATTTATATTGCACCTACTGTGTGCCAGGCCCTATGCTAAGCACTTTGCAAGGATTATCTCCTTTGATCCTCACAACAGCCCTGGGAGGTGGGTAGAATTATTATGTCCATTTTACATTAAGAAAATTGTGGTGAAAAGAGGATTATGTGACTTTCCCAAGGTCACATAGCCAGTAAGTGTCTAAAGCTAGATTTGAATTCAAGTCTTCCTGATTCCAAGCCTCCATCCACTATGCCCTTACTGCCTCTCAGGCTCTTTTCAGTTTGAAATTCTTAAAGACTGAGAGGTTTGTTGTTAGCTATATTTTTTGTGTCAGAAAGGAATGAACTTTAACAAAACCAAAGATTTAAATTGAAACGTGACAGCCTCACCTTGCTTCAACCTTTCATATTTTCACTTGCTTTCTGCCTATTTATTAACCTGCAGGATACCCAGTGTATGTTGGCTTAGGGAATCTTTGGTGCCTCATTCACACACATACCTCTGCAGTTTATGGCCTTAATATGTTCTAAAGAAGATTGCAGGTTGACTGTTAAGAATTCCTTAAAAGTAAAGGGGACTTCTTAGCAATAAGTCTGATAGAAGGATGAAACAGACCTTTGCTGCTAGTAGATATCAATCAGTGAGTTAAAAACACAGACTAAATACCTGAGTTCTAATTTGCTGACCTTTGAAGTGGAACCATCATCAGAACTTTGATTAGACATTCAGGCAAGCTGCATATAAGGTGGTTGAACCAGCTGATGGCAAAAAATGAGCTATGATGCACATCTAGTATTAGTTCACAAAATGCTCCCACAACAGGGGTAGGGATAAGGTTTTAGGGGGAAAGGCAAGTGAAGAGAATAAATATATATTAAGCTCCTACTGTGTGCTAGGCATTGTACTAAGTACTTCACAAACATTATTTTATTTGATCCTCACAACAAACTTAAGCGATAGGTACTATCATTATCTCCATTTTGCAGTTGAGGAAACTGAGCCATAAAGAAGTTAAATGACTTGTGCAAGGTTACACAGCTAGCAAGTGTCTGAGGCTGGATTTGAACTCAGGGTATTCTTGACTCCAGGCCCAGCACTCCATCCATTGCTCCATGAAGCTGCCTCTAGGCAAAGCGATGGACTGTCTTTTCTCCATTCCACACATGTACCTCAAACAGTATTTCTTTTGTATCTTTTCCCATTAATCTAAATATAAAAATGGTCTCTTCTGGCTGCTGAAGTTAAAGAGCTTTGAAGTTTAAAAAAGTCACTGGCAGAGTAGTTTTGGACAGCGGACCTATTTTGTGTGTGAAAGTGTGTGTGTGTGTGTGTGTGTGTGTGTGTGTGTGTGTGTGTGTGTATAATATATATATAGAGAGAGAGATTCACGCATACACATATATATATATGTGTGCATATGTATATATAAACACATACACACATACATACATATATACACATATACATAACACACTCATTCCAGCTACTATGTAATCAGATTCTCTTAACCTTTGGTAGGGCATAGAATCAGTAGCCTTGCATGGATGAAGGAGTGACAACCACCCCATGTTTTATATACATGAAAAATCTATTTAAACTACGTATACAAACCAGGGGAATGTTTCTGAAGCCATGAAAATGGCCATTTAATCAAGTATCCTACATTAGGAGGGGATACATTGCTAAAACATTTCTTGAATGCGAAAGTAAGAATTTGGCTAGTTGAAATATTTTATTCCTGTATCCTCACCAATACATATACACATACGCACATACATATATAAACACATATATGTATGAGTATATATATGCATATACATTGATATTGTATGTGTGTGCATATATAGCAAGTATGTGTCTATCTCTATATATCAAGCAAAGTGTGTGTGTGTGTGTGTGTATTTTACCACCCAAGAAAATAAACATGGTGTAGTGGTTTGAGCTATGGAAAGAGTGACTACATCACTTTCATGTAGAATTTAAAGATCTGAAAGGGTTGCTTAAACACTAAGCCTTCAAAGTTCCCTGAGGCACCCAATATTGTATTTACTTCTTCAGCAGAGACAGTGAATCTGAGATACAAAAGAACAAGGAAGCCACTTGTACCCATCTTCACTGAGTAACAGATACTGAGTGCCTGTACATTCACACTAGCAGCAGAAGGAGGAGACATCCCTTTAAGTTATGATCCAAAAAATGTGACATTTCTGCTTCTTCAAAAAAAAAATTCCAGGATTCTTTTCCTTTTCACTGATTCACTGCCAGACATTGAGCAAGTACCTTAACTTCCGTGTGTTTCAGTTTCTCCATCTGCAAAAACAGAGATAATAGCAGGTGTTTACAGTTCTCCTTGAAATCCACAGACAGAAGATGTTGTATAAGTATAGGGTAGGAACTGAAAATTTGTGAGTAAATACAGTGTTTGTGTGCATGTGTGTGGTGCTTGTAGTCAAGAGGCCACAGCAATTATAAGACCTGAAAAGCTATCTTTGTCTTTCATATTTTATTCTCAAACTGGTGTGTCAGGAAGGAGGGACAGATTATCTACTGACCTGGTACAAGGTCAAGCATTCAAGAAGAAACAAACACTTGGCTCCATTGTTCTAGTGCCATGGGATATTTTCTCCCGTAGAAAATGTTTCAAAAGAAGCTCAGGCTATGAAACAGAAAACAAATCCGAGGTCCTTTTTCAGTCTTAGCCAGGTTGTTGGGCTGTGTCTCTATGGTGCTTCAACAATCTGTAGAAAATGAAAAAAAGAAAAGAAAATGGTCAATGTACTCATCATTTTGATGACATCAAATAATCTTGTTCTTGTGAGCTTTTAAGAAAAAGTAAATTTATTGAACTACTGTGAAAGTTGGCAGATCAAAGATCAATAAATGGGAAAATAATGATAACCAGTGGGAAAAGACCAAAGAACTAAGAAGATGATCAAGTTCAGCAACAAATAAAATCGTTTAAATAAAAAAACAAAAATAAAAGGAATTAGGAAAAGTAAAGAACAGCTAATAAGTGTTTTAAAATTAATCCTACTAAATTATATTTGATAATTTTCAAAGCACTTCTAAATACATGATTTCCTTTAGTCCTTGTGACATCTCTTTGATCTATCAAGAATCACATCATTACACCCATTTCTGCAGGAGGAAGCTGAAGTTATCTAGATTGTTATGCATCTAATTAGTTGTGGAGGTGATTTGTAAAACCTAGTGACTGACACATAGGAGGTACTAAATAAATACTTGATAAATGGGTATTAATTGATTGATTGAGTTACCTAGTGGCTCATCTTGTGCAGAATTCAATCACATCAGTTCATTATTAGAAATTTATTAGGTTTACTTATAAAAAATAGTGAGGAAAGAGAGTTATCCCTTGTTTCTCCTGACCATAGAAGAGGTTAGAAGTGGCAGGGGGGAAAGCTATCATAATTGTGGATCTATGTGAAGTAAATCTACCTTTGAAATTAAGGAACAGAACACAGTGAATAACTTGAATGAGCTAAGGACCTATACCTGTCTGGATTAGTGCGTTCTTGTTGCATTTTGTTTATTTTGCTTTTTGGATGCATGCTATTAGAAAGAATCCAACTCATTACAGCTATCTAAGATACATAAATAGATTTGAAGTTCTCTCTCATGACACCATCGATAGGCGTCTGATCATCCTATGTAACTTTTATCCTTGCTTTGCCAGAAGCATACCACAAAAGCTCCAGCCACTATGATGGAGGCCTTCTTACTTCCTCTCAACAACATAAAGCTATAAGTGGCATGCTAGTGGTTGACTGGTCATCCCTCCCTCTCCCCTTCTCACATCTCTCATATCTCACTTCCTTTTCCTGTTACACAATTACTTGATGACACCTTTTATTTTTCTTCCTAAAATTTCATTATAAGTTTGTAGTAGGTAGGCCTAGAAGGAGCTAAAAGCAATTGTCAGAGTACTGGAATTTGGAGTCAGGAGACAACTGATCTCAATTAAATTCCTACCTGGGAGAGTACTTTACAATAGGATACTAATTTGCACTTTCTCCTCCTCCTCTTCCTACTCTTTCTCTTCCAGTTCATTCTTGATAAATGAACTTGATGGCGTATCAGAGGCTTATTTTTTATATACTTCCTTGCCCTTGGTATTATATGCTTCAATATTATTTTTGTTTTTCTGCTTTAGGTACTTTCTGTTCACAGGTTCATTTGTCTTTGGATTACTGTCCAGACCATAGTTTGCTCAGTTTTTTACCAGCATTACCAACAAACAGGCCTGGCTGTTGACATTGTTTTCTGCATGATGTTGAACACAGAAGAGAAAGAATGTAGATGACAGTCATTTGGGGGCATTAAGATACTTTTTCTTTCCTTTCTGGTCATAGGTTAGTCACTTAACCTTTAAGAGCCTCATTTTCCCTCATCTGTAAATGTGGTTCAGGTCACTTTCACAGACTATTTCACAGGGTTGTTATGAGGAAAAAACTTTGCAATAAACCCTAAAAGTCTTCATAAATGGGATTTTTTTACCAGTCACTGTAACACTATTCATTACAGTGGCTGGTGTACTGGAATCACTATGCATACACGTATACATGCTTACACATGTATGTAAATATTCACACATACAAATATGTGCATATGTATGCATATTCATGAGGATGTTATCAATGAAAGATTTCTGGTATACATATAGTCAAAGAGGAAGATTAGGTATTTGCTTGCATAACAATATAAAAGTGAAGATTGAGTGAAATGTTAAATTTTTAGCTGACACATTAGATTTTCCATTGGATGCTAAAGGGCAGAAAATTTAAATGAAGTCTGTTAGAAAGTTGAAAATGCAGATTTTCATTGCAGTTCAATTGCCTTAGAAGCAAAAGTTTATTAAAGTAAAAGAAACATGCATATATGGTAAAGTCAAAATTTGGTTTTACATAAATGTATGTGCATACAACAGAGTATGGTAGAAAGAAGACAAGACTGGGAATTTTAAGAACTGTGTTTGAACACAACCCTTTACTACTTTTTTTGGAAGACATTTCTACTTGTATGATATTGATAAATCTATAGTATCCCCAGAACCTGTGGCCCCCAAATAGCTCTCCTATGAAGTTTTTTGTCCATCAGAAATGTAAGGACCAGAGCTTCATGCTGTCTGGGTCCCCAGTAGGCAACAGTCTCTTACAAAAGCATGTACCCTTGAAAGTCCCTATCTTCTCCTTTCACACTGGTTATGAGACAAGAGTTCTGAGATTGGAAAGCTGATGGCCAGGGTATACTTTTACTCTTTGCCCCAGTGTCTGGGAAAGTTTTAAGGGTCATGTATAAGCCAGGCAAGTAGGCTGCTATTTGGGCTTTGGCTATGGCTTGAATTGTGGGAGGGTAGATTTAATCAATTACTCATTTTTCATTTTTGTTTATTTATTTTTATTTCCAGAATCAGACCTTTATTTGTGGAAAACCAATATGCTTTTCTTATAGATTAGACTACTGCCAAAGATAAAAATCATATGAACAGGAATCAACTTCCAAAAACTGTTTCTAAACTGAACATTATTATGAAATACTGTTGTACTACAAAAATGATGAGTTCAATGATCTTAGCAAAACATGGATAGACTTGCACATAATATTGAAGAGTGAAATGAGCACAACCAAGAGAATATTGTATATAGTAATGGCAATATTGTTGTAAGAGCAGCTTTGAGTGAATAACTCATTTGGACTATTAGAAATACCCAAACCAACTACAAAGGACATATGAAGGAAGATTCCATCTTCATCCAGACAAAGAACTGATGAATAGAAGCCTGTATAGAAATATATATATATATATATATATATATATATATGTATATATATATATATATGTATGTGTATGTATATATATATACACACACATATATAAACATATATACATATACACACACACACATATATATATACATATATATATACATATATGTGTGTGTCTAATTGTAGCTATCTCTAGGGCATGAAGGGGAAGGGGAGAAAAAAAGAAATTTGTATGACAATTTTACTATATATATAAAAGGAATAGCATGTGTTATATAATAGATTGTTAGTTTCATGTAAAATAATATTTTTGTTATACTATGTTATAGAAATGCTTGCTTTATTCCATAAATAAAAATAAAATTATTTATTTATTAATTTATTTTGATTTATCAACAATCACTTCTATAAACTTTTGAGTTTTAAATTTTTCTCCCCCTCCCTCTCCACCTCCTTCTCCAAGATGGCATGCAATCTGATGTAGGCTATACATATACATTAGAATTAAACATATTTTCACATAAGTCATGTTGTAAGGAAAAATTAGAACCAATAGGAGGAACCACCAGAAAGAGGAAACAAAACACAACAGAAGAAAAAAATAGCAAATAGTATGCTTCAATCTGCATTCAAACTCCATAGTTCTTTGTTTGGATGTGGATAGCATTTTCTGCCATGAGACCTTTGGAGATGTCTTAGATTGTTGCATTGCTGAGAAGGGCTAAGTCTATCAATGTTAGTCCTCACACAACAAGGCTGTTACTGTGTACAACATTCTCCTGACTTCACTCAGCATCAGTCCATACAAGTCTTTCCTGGTTTTTCTGAAGTCCATTTGCTCATCATTTCTTATAGCACAATAATATTCCATTACATTTATATACCACAACTTGTTCAGCCATTCCCCAATTGATGGGCATCCCCATAATTTCCAATTCTTTGCCACCACAAAAAGAGCTGCTATAAATATTTTTGCACATGTGGGTCCTTTCCCCATTTTTATAATCTCTTTGGGATACAGCCTTAGAAGTGCTATTGCTGGGTCAAGGGGTATGCACATTTTTATAGCTCTTTGGGCATAGTTCCAAATTGCTCTCTAAAATTATTGGATCATTTCACAACTCCACCAAGAATGCATTAGTGTTCCAATTTTCCCACATCTTCTCCAACATTCATCATTTTTGTTGTTTTGTCATGTTGACCAATCTGATAGATGTGATGTGGTACCTCAGAGCTGTTTTGATTTGCATTTCTCTAATCAATAGTGATTTAGAGCATTTTTTCATATAACTACAGATGCCTTTAATTTCTTCATCTGAGAACTGCCTGTTCATATCCTTTGACCATTTATCAATTGGAGAATGACTTGTATTCTTATAAATTTGACTCAATTCTCTATATATTTTAGAAATGAGGCCATTATTAGAGACACCGGTTGTAAAAATTCTTTCCAAGTTTTCTATTTCCCTCCTAATCTTGGTTGCATTGGCTTTGTTTGTGCAAAAACTTTTCAATTTGACATAATCAAAATTGTCCATTTTGCATTTCATGTTCTCTTACCTCCTGCTTGGTCATGAATTCTTCTGTTCTCCATAAATCTGACAGGTATACTACTCCTTGCTTTCCCAATTTACTTATAGTATCAACCTTTATATCTAAATCATGAACCAATTTTGACTTTATTTTGGTATATAGTGTGAAGTTTTGGTCTATGCATAGTTTCTGCCATACTCTTTGGAAATATGTTATATATGATAGCACATGCATAGCCTATAACAAATTGCCTGCCATTTTAGAAAGAGGTGAGGGGAGGGAAGGAGGGAGAAAAATTTGGAACTCAAAACCTTGTAAAAAATGAATGCTAAAAATTGTCTTGACATGCAATTGGGAAAAAATAAAATACTATTAAAAAGAAATAAAAGAAGAATGTGATCAAATATGTCAAAGGCTT